TCACTGTCATTTTACTATCAACGCTCTTTTTCCCTAATGAATGGTTCTCAGCATCTAACAGTTCCCAAGATGCGTTTGCTTCCTCAACATAATAAATTCTTGAAATGAATGAGGATTGTGCATCAGTGTTGGTGTCCATCAAGTTTCTATCTACTTTTCAAGTGAGAAGTTACGGTCTTCATCATTATTCTCTAATTGATATGAGTCTCTCTTTTTTAACGAAACATGTATTAATGTATATGTTGGGAATTTATTTAACATGTACAGCGGAAAATTAATAATTTTTCAATTCCCACCACGGATCTGTTTTGTGTTTAGATAGAAACTGTGTTGAAAATAATACATTTGATGAATTCTGCAAACTCTTTTGCTGATTCTCGAACTCCAATGATCACAATCTTCAATCCAAGTTGTCCAATTGTTCAGTCTCCAATGGTGATCCACACAGAAAACAAGAATGACGGCTAGGGTTTTACTTTTCTTGTGCTAGCTAGCAAGAATAATGAAAATTCTCTACAATTTACAAACCCTAGCAACCTATTAATATAAGTCCAAGTGGGTTGGCTCATCTCTAAACTTTACCTGGTCCAATATTTAATTAATCAAATTAATTAAATTCGGTCCATGAATTAATTAATCCGGGCCTATTAATAAGTAACTTAATTAATTAATTGTCCAACACTTGTCAATTAATTAATTGGTAAATTTCATTCTTCTGGTTCTCTTTTGTGTGTGACCCATTAGGTTCCCGATCACGATACCTAACGACGTGAATTATTATTTTGATCTAATCAAAATCGATAAATTAAAACANAATTCGGGCCTATTAATAAACAACCCAATTAGTTAATTATCCAACATTTGTCAATTAATTAATTGGTAAATCTCATTCTTCTGATTCTCTTTTGTGTGTGACCCATTAGGTTCCCAATCACGATACCTAACGACGTAAATTATTATTTTGATCTAATCAAAATCGATAAATTAAAACACCCCTTTTAATTTATCACTAATTCACATTCATCGTCCGAGTTTACATCTAGCAATGTGTCAGAGTAATACATGTGATGAGAAATGTGATGTGACAAACCAAACTTGTTCGTTTACCATGAAATTATAATCATTTCGTCAATATGATCCAATCAATAATGAGATATGGATACGTGTCAATCTCAATTATTGATCATATCTTTTATCTCAATGTTAAGTCAATGTAAGTCGAAAACTCTTTTTCGACTTATGAGTTCACATTGGCCAAGGATTTCATTATTAGCTTAAATGGATAAAATGCAGATCATAATCTCTTACTATCTAAGAGCGACGAATCCTCTATTGATCATTCACAACCTTCATATGATTCTTGACATACCCGAACGATGCTGTATTAGCAATCCTTAGTAGATTAACATCCAACACCATCAAAGTATGACTGTCCTCATATAAGGTACTATGACGACCTCAAGTCAAAGGATCAATT